TTCTGGCCGCACCCTCAGCTTGGCCCAACCTGAGATAATGCCCACCCCTTCGAGGTCAGCACCGCTCCTGGCAAAACTGTGCTGTGGGACAATCTTCAAGGACAGGATGGGTCCCAAAAGGCCACCCTGTGTGGCTGCGCAGGCTGCCTACCACTCTGGGGCACTCAGAGAAGGAAATGCAGCCCTTCCCTCCTCTCCCCAGGGCTGGGAGCCTCGGACAGGAGCGGCCTCTGCCTGGAGGAGGTGCCTTTCTCTAATTTGCATAAGGACTGCATATGGGCTGGAAGGCACCTGAGTCACCTGTGCTGGGGTTCATGCAGCTTAGAGATGTGGAATCAGGTGGGGCCTCAGAGAGGATCTGACCCAACTTTCCTGTTGCAAAGAAGAGGGAACTGACTGTTATTCATTCATTCAGTGAACCTTTACTGAACTATGTGACTAGTTCACTATGTGAACTAGTGATACTATGATACTATGTGATGAGTATCATCTCTATGTTCAGCAGGAGGCAGACAGGGTCAGATGAAAGGAAGGGCACAGGCTATGGCTGGTTCACCTGTACTCCTGCTGAACTTTGGCTGGGGGGCACGCCTCTGTCCTTTTTGCTCCGCCTCCAGGGATGTTTGGCAAAGTCCTATCATGCCAGGCATGGTGCCAAGTCTACTCCAGCCAGCTGTTCTCTGCACTGACTGGTACCTGACTCCATGCCCCTCATTCCAGCTGGGCTTGTGTAGCTGGTGACCTACTGACCCCTGACATAGGCTGAAGGCTGATTCTGATGACTGGGCTCGCTGGGGCTAGACGCCCGGTTAGAGGTTGCACAGCCCTGGATGGCGCATTCAGCGGGAAAGAGCACTGTGCTAGGAGTCGGGACCTGGGCTCTGGGTCTAGCCTGCCATTAACATGTGTTGAACTTGGTCAAGCCACAAACCATCTCTTGGTCTACAAAATGGGAAGGTCAGGCCATGCGACCTCTAAGATTTTGCCAACTCTGACCTTCTGATCAGGGGTTCTCAAACCTTGGCAGGTAATGGAATTGCTGGGAGGGCTGGCTCAAACCCACATGGCTGAGCCCCACTCCAGAGCTTCCAATTCAGTGGGGCTGGGGTGAGACCTGCACTTCTGCTGAGTCTTAGGTGATGCCGATGCTGCGGGTTTAGGGACCATACTTTGGGAACTGCTGTTCTAGCAGTGCTGGCTGCACATTAGAATTACCTGGGAAAGCTTTAAACACTGTTGATACCAGGCAGATTAAATCCCAGAGCAATTAAATGAGCATCTCGGAGCCGGAGCCTGAGCTTCGTCATTGTTAATATCTCCCTCAGGTGAGCCTTGCGTTCCGCCAGGGACAGGAGCCGCTGTAGGGGAAAGGTGGCTGGGGAAGGGACAGGGCACCGACTGGGCCCTTTTGGAGGGAGGTCTCTCGGATCCCAGCTCAGCTCTCTAGCTGCCAGGTTTGGGACAGCCTCCCCGGGCCTCAGTTTCCCCTTCCATAAGTGGGGTTGTTAGGAAGACCAAATAAAATCCTGCCTCTTTGTGTCTGCCCACCCCTTCCTTCCTCCTGTCTCCAAGGAGAGCTTGTGTTTCTCCTGCTCTGAGGCCATTCAACTGAGCAGAATTTAATAAGCATTTATTAAAAATTCACCATGCGCAAGATGTGGCCCCGAGTGATGTGGGAATAGAAAGATCAGTGAAGCTCACCCCACTCCAAGGAGCTCACATGCTAACGGGGGTGGCAGGCAGGCCTGGGTCCCAGACATGAGGCTGGATGTGACACAGGCCACACAGGCAGTGATTGTGACAAAGGCCACTGTGTGCGAAGGCCCCAGTTCGAGGCACCTGACAGCATATTTTCATCCTTCTAACAACCTACAAGAGAGCTACTGTTACAACACTGAGTTCAGAGGTGAAGAGACTGAGGCTTAAAGGGGTGGTCAGTTCCCCAGGCTCTGGTGCCGAGAGCCCAGAGGAGGACGAGAGTCACACCGTTGTGGGTAGACTGTGGACATCGGACTTTGAAGGATGTGTACAAGTTCAATGGGTAAATATAGAGGAGAAAAAAACTATCCTAGATAGAGGAATCAGCATACACAATGGCCTGGAGAAAGGAAATCCAGCTTCTTTGGGGACCTGCAGAGGGTCTGATTGGCTGAAAGGCAGGCTGATGGTGGGACATGGTGAGAATCAGACCCTGATGGTGGGAGGCCTTCTGTACTGAGCTAAGGAGTTTAGATTTTATATCGCATGGAGTGTTGGAGCCATTGAAAATTGCTGAGCAGGAGGTGGCATTTTTAGAAAATGATTAGAGTGGTCCTGGGCTGTGAGAGAGATAAGGTGACAGGGAGCCCAGTAAGGAAGGAGGTGGCTGTGACAAATGGGGGCGGGATGGGAAAGTGGGCACACAGGGGAGGGGCACTGTTGCCACAGGAAGCTTCCTGGGGCATTGACCCCGCATGTGCACCTGCTTGTTTACTGAGCCAGTCTGTGCTGGGGGTGGGGGCAAGGGTGGGAACACGGACAAGTGTGTCTCCCGGGGCCCCAGAGCTCCACATGCCGTGCTCTTCAATATGGGGATATGGTCAGTGGAGCGTGACCCTCTCAGGGCGAAGAACTCGGCTGAAGCAGCAGGTTATGGGTTCCCGGGCGGGCTCAGATCTGGCCACCTGCCACATTTCCAGGGTTGGGGATGGGGGAACTGGCCCAGTGGCCTGGATCCTCCTGACTCCAGCCTTCCAGATGAAGTGTGCCACCCTTTCTGCCTCCCACTGCCAAGTTTATGACCAGCTCGAGGCTCATAACCTCTTTGCGTCAAGCTGAGCACAAACCGTCCTGGGCTGCAGCCAGTTCCTAGAAGCAAAGTCTGGATGTGGAAAGAGCACTGGGCTGGGACCCTGCCACTTGCTGGCTGGGTGACCTTGGCCACATACGTCCCTTAGCCCCTCTGAGGCCTAGATTTCACTTTCTCTAGTTAGGGGATTAAACACAAGTAGGGCAAGTGCTGTGCCCTCTGACCAGTTCCCCCCCCACCTCCCCACACCTGCCCCATCTTCTCTGGTCAGTTTCCCTGGAGAATCTCAAGACTGCACAGGAACAAGCAGAGCAAGCCACTTTCTATAATCGAAGTCCAAGGCCATGGTGGCACTTTAGTTTCTCTGTGGACCTAGCATATCATACCCATTTTATGGAGGACATAACCACAGCCCAGGGAAGTCCCGTGACTGGCCCAGGGCCACATATTGCAGCGGTGACTGAGGCTTGAACAGCAATCTCTATTCTGATGGAGCTGGACCCTCAGTTTGGTGCCCCCCCACTCCAGATCCCCACTTATCAAGAAGTGGGAGGGTAAGTCTGTTGGTGGGGGAGGACCGGTAGCCGCCCCCCAATTCCTGCGTTCCAGAAGTGAGGGCTAGTTGTCTGGCAGATGCAAAACGTGGCTTGACAGACACAGTATTGGTCCCTTCACTGCATCACAGCGAGAACATTCTCTTTTCAGCCTCCAGATGACATGAAGGAGAAAGTCTCCACTGGATGCTAATAGGTCTTGACCGCCTCTCCATCACTTGCCACCCCCTGCCCCGCCCCTTTTCCAGAGGGCACATCTCAAGCCGTGGCAGGCCAGTTTCCAACTAGAATTTAATAACTTTGTTTTCACTGTGCTTATTTTTACTCTTACCTTCTATTTATGGCAAGTGATACTGGTTTCCCATTTAAGGTAGTGATATAACGATTCTCCGAAAAGCGTGTTTAAGGAAGGGGAACCTGGGTCTTAGATTTAAAGAAAATACTAATAAACAGTGTCTAGACATGGAACAGCAAGAATGACTGCCGTTTGCCCTCGTTCTAGGTGTAGGGAATGGAGGTGAGCGAGGCGCTGCCCGAGGCACCAGGATGTCCCAGGCAGGGCTCTCTCCGCAGACGCGCACGCAGCACAGACCTCCGTGCAGGCCGAGTTGATTCCACCTGGTGGCACGTGTGCGGCCCATGTGCCATCTCCTGGGGTCCTGCAGGCCACGAGACCTCGGGAGGCCGCGGAACAGAGTGTATAGCTGGGCACCTGGGGATTTCCACGATGGAGGAGGGCGCAGGAGTCATGGCCCGTGGGCTGTGGATTATCCCAGCGCGAGCAGCTGGGCCCCCCCCGGCCGATTGGCGGCGGGACCCTCGCAAGTCACCTGCAGCCAGGGTGGTGTTACGGAGCTCGTCCCCGGCCACCACCCCAGCGGTCACAGTCCCACGCGCCCCTGCACGCGGAGCGCCAGACTGCGGAGCCCGGGTGGTGGCGGGCGGGGCGGTAGGGGCGGGGCTAGGCAGCGGGACCCACCACCCATTGGCTGAGCGCAGTGCCAGGGGCGGGGCGCCGGGAGAAGGCGGGTGAGCGGCTCCCAGAGGCGGAGGCTTGCGTGGGGCTGCCGGACCCACGGCTCAGAGCTGCGGAGTGGGTGGGTGGGCGCCGCACGACGGGTCATCTAGGGACTCTCGCAGGGACTGCGGAGGGCGCCCAGACCGCTGCCGCTGGGACCGCCTTCAGGACCCTGGGTTCTGACCACTTTTCCGAGGGACCGTTGACCTTGCTCCGTGGGGCGTTCGCCTTCGGGAGCAGGAAGGAGGGAGGAGCCGGGAGCCCTGCAGACAGAAAGTTCGCCCGCCCTGGGGGCCATAGGAGGTGAAGTGGGAGGAGGAGCCGGTATAGGCGAAGTCGGAGCTGCGAAACCTTGGGGCGGCGTTCAAGGCTCCCTCCCACACTCCAGTGCGGAGCTCAGCGCCTTCCTCCTCCTTCAGCCGCCGGCATCGCCTGTCAGGGGTTCAGAAAGGAGTCCTGCCTCCCGCCGGGAAAGCTGCAGAGCGGCGGGCAGCCGAGGAGTCCAGGGCCGAGCTGGGCAGCTCTCCACCCCAGCGACCCCCTTTGGGGTGGGCCAGGACGAGTGTGCCCACCCACGCATGCACCCAGAGCTACCTCCAAAGGATCCTCCGGGAGTCTCTAAGGACTCCCTTTAAACCCTAGAGTCTCCCCTACCGCTCTCCCCCCAGCCCGGAGCCCCAGGCGGGGACCCCGGGATCCAACGTCCCCACGCCTCCGGGCACCTGGCTCAGCAGGAGTCCCCCGGGTCGGGGCAGGGCAGGGCCGGCGGCGACGAGCCGGAGCCCGCCCAGCACCCGGGCCCCGCCGAGCCCTCGGAACCCACCCATGGGACACCAGCACCTTGTATCCCCTCGCCCGGCTGCGCCCAGCCCGGCGCTCAGAGCAGCACAGAGGAGGAGCCTGGCGCAGTGACCCAGGGCCCACCGCAATCTCTGGAAGGCTCCGCAGCCGGGGAGGCAGGCTGTTCCCCGCACCTCCAGGCGCTTCCAGGCAGCCCTCCGAGCCGAACCAGAGGTCCAGTCCGCCATTCACAGGTAGGAGGAGACACCCTACAGAATTGGGGAGCTGGGTGAGGTGAGGAGCCAGGGGAAGAGGGTTGAGAATGGTCGGAGAAGGCTAGGTGAAGCTTTACATGACTACCATAGTGAAGCTGATCCAGCTCCTGTATGTATGTGTCGGGTCCATCCGGCAACTCTGCATATTTAGAGAGAATTAAGTTAGTTGAGCACCTACTGTGTGTCAGGCTGTGTGTGAGGCCCTTTACTCGTACCTGGTAAGAAAGACTTACTGAACTTCTACTCTCACTGACTGGGTGCGCGGAGCTTCCATTTAAGTATGAGGAAACTGAGTCTCAGGGAGGAAGAAGGTACTTATCTTCCCCAAACACTCCCACCCCCTTCCTGAGCCAGCTGCTGCCTACATGCCAGGAGCTGGGTAAGGGCTGGGATGTGGCCAGTTGGTGCCCTGTGCTGCCCCCCCCCCAGCCCCAATGAGGACCTCCTCTGAGGAGGGAGGATTCAGGAACACCTTCCTTGTCCGGAGTTCCTCCAGCTTTTTCTGGGTGTTTCCTGCCCAGGATGGGTGTCCTGTCCTCAGCTAGCCAGGGAGCCCCCCGAGTGCCTCTGAGGGGCTCCCTCTGACCTCTCCTCCCATCTCCCCCAGCCCTGGGAAGAGGATGGAGGATGTTGCCCAGGACCTTATGGGACGTAGGAGACCGGGTTGGGAAGGGCAGCCAGCTCAGGAGCCCATGATTCAGGCTTCCCCTGGCACCAGAGAGACAAGATGGGTCCCCCAAAACCTGTGCCTGTACTCCAGTCCTGCCCTACCTGGATGCTCCAAGAAGCCCCTCGACTGCCAAGAAGAGCCACAAAGCGAGGGGCCCACTTGCTGTGTGGCAGGAGCTGTATCAGCCTTTTGGCCTCTCACGGCCGCACTCGGGTCTGTTTCTGCGGTACCCCTCCGAGGGCGGACCAGCCACGCCAGCCTGGCCCGGCCATCCACCCAAGGTCGCTGAGCTGGTGGGAGGCAGAGCGGGTCTGCTGACGGCTGCCGCCTGCCTGCTCTCTTCCATCCTGAGTTGCCAAAGAGGGGAGGTTGGCTTTGCAAAGCCCTCAGGACTCATCTCAGCGTGGGCATGGAGGCCAGTCTGTCCGTGTATGTCCAGAGAGGCTGGGGTGTGCCCTCGTAGAAGAGGCCAGGGGTTGGGGTAGGGGGATGTTGGGGGGACAGTGCAGTGTCGCTGCTCTGGGGTGCTCACAGGGAGGAGGGTGCGTCCAGACTCGTGTTCTGCTGTCCTTGCTCAGCCGACCCCTCCACCTTCCAGGCAGGCCCTGGGGGAGGGGCTCAGGGAAGAAGAGGATGAGTGTGGAGATGCATTCACTGGGAGCTGCTGAGCAGAGTTTGGGGGAGAGCCCTGGGCAGGCTGCCCGCACCCAGCTGCCTGTAAGGAGAGAGCGGGAGTGAGAATAAAATAGGGTCATTTCCCTGCCTGACTCCAGCTGAGGCTTCAGGGAGTCAGACACTGTTTTGAAAGACTCTGGTTGTGGCCTGGGGGTGGGTCTTCACAGAGGTAAGAGCCCAGGCTTCCGAGCCAACAGCCTGAGTTTAATCCTGGCCTGGCCAGCTATCTGTGTGAACCCAGGCAAGTGACACCAGTGTCCCTATCGGTCCACTGGGTCCATGGTGTCCCCCTCTTCACAGGGCTGTTGTGAAGTCATGGGAATTAGGCACAGAGTACCCAGCGTGATGGAAGGCTGCCTGGCTGGGGTGACTATTCTCCCCGAATGGCCCCACCCCATCTCAGCTCCAGGCCCTTCTGCCTCCCAGGGGCCCTTAGAATGGCCCTGGGGTGGGGTCGGCCAAGTCACAGAACCTACATTGGGAACTGGTGCTGCTGCCAGTTCCTGTTAACTACCAGGGTGGCACTCCGAACTCTGAAAGAGCCCTTTGAACCCCAGCCCTTGTCTGCTTCTCACTGTGTAGAGTCAGCCTGGCTAAAGATAGGGAAGAACAGGGAATGCAGGAGCAGAGAAGCGATGCCCACGGTGCTGCCCACAGCACCTCCTCTGGGGGCAGAGAAGGGAAGACAGGTGTGGGGGTGGGAGGCGGGGCCCACAGAGGTGCTGTCACCTGGCGTCCAGGTGTCTGGTGCTTCACAGAGCCCCACATGGCAGAGGCCATGTGAAGACTCAGATTCTTCTCTCAAAGAGGAGAGCTGCAGATCTTTTTCCCTCCTTAGCCTCTCTCTGACTCTGCCTCCTCGCTGAGCCTTTGCCCGTTTGTTCGGTCATTGGTATTAGCGTGTCTGTACCAGGAGCCCTAGGGGTAGAGGTTGGGGCAGGCAGGGGTGGAGACAAACACTGTCCCTGGGGGCTGCTGGCTCCTTCCTTCTTGGTCTAGACAGAGGTGACCACCAGCAGAGGCAAGGTCCCTGCAGAAGGACTTGGGGAGGGGGACGTCCTGGTGTGGGGCCTCTCCCTCCCCCATCTCTGCTGAAGGCCCAGACTGGCTCGCCCAGGCCCAGAGGTGACTGAGAAGGGTTCGCTGCTGTTGGTCTTGCACCCCCACTGCCCACCTGTGAGTGTGCCCAGGGTGCTGAGTCCCTCCACATCACAGCCCCTGGGCCTGCCAGGCAGGGTGGGGCTGGAGGGAGGAGTCCCCAGAAGGAGGCTTCAGGGGAGCTGCAGAGGCAGAGGTATTTGCTTCATCCATTCATGGATCACTTATTGAGCGCCTGCTGTGTGCGTGGCACCCAAGTCTCATAGGGTACATTGAAAGATGGCTTCAGACATGGCCTGGGTGAGTGACGTGAGAGACTCAGGCTCAGGCTCTCACTGTGCCGGCTCCCTTATTAAACTCATGCACCAGTCACGTAGCTTTTAAGCACCAGGGGCCTTATTTGTGAAACGAGGAAGATAATATATAGGGAGGCAGTGAGGAGACTCCATAGCACAGGGCAGACTGCCCACCTGCCCCTCCTCTCCTGGGTATGGGCTGTGTAATCACAAGCAAGTTACTAAACTTCTCTGTGCTTTGATTTCTCCATCCGCGAATTGGGAAAATTCCACCTGCCTTCTGGGATGACTGAGGGGTGAAGGGGTTTATTATGTGTTCAGCACTTAGAACATTTTGACATATGTTAACTGCAAAATAAATGTCAGCTGTTACTGTTCTATACTTAGCACAGTGCTGGGCACACGGCAGGGGCTTGGATCGAGGTGATCATTATCCTGGCTGCAGGCCCCGGGTCACAGTGTGCTGAGCAAGCTCATTGTGTGAGTCTCTTTGTAACTCATTCACTGACATCGTCTTGGAATCGGCCGGCGGCGGTATGCACGCCGCAGGAATTGACAAGTGCTACCAATGAGAGCTTTTTAGAAAGGTATCTTTGAGAGCCGGTTTCTTGCCCAGCAGCTCCCGGTTGGGCAGGTGGGCAGGACGTGTGTCGGGAGACCCACACGGGAGCGGTCTCCACCTCCAGTCTCTCCGCACCACGGCAGATCCGACCGCATGACTGTGGAGAGAGCCTTGGGGTGAATGGGCCGTCGGGGGTGGGGGGGTGTCGGAGCTAGCACAAGTGGCCCTCTGTGCCTTTTCCGAGCAGAGGACCTGCCAAAGACAGCCCCCATTTCCCCACCCAGCCTGCACCACCGTGTGTGGTAGCCCCGGGGGTCGGTATTCTAGCAGGCCAGCCTGTATCCATTTCCAGCTCCTCTTCTCTAGAGAGGGATTCCTGCTGCTGTGGGTGGGGGTCAGAGGGGCCTTCAGAGAGGAGAGGGTGTTGAGCCAGACCCTGAAACGTAAAGGGAAGAGGGTCTCCGGGGGAGGGACTAGCCTGAGCTAAGGAGCGGAGGCAGAGCTCAGACTGATGGAGGGACGGGGGCCCGGGTGCCGGGGCGTTTCTGCTGGGTGTGGAGATGGGAGGGCTGGGGTGTCTGGGCTGTGAGGGGCCTTTCAGGTGGGGCTGATGGCCACGGCCCCTGGAGGTCACTTATGTCCACTGGGGGTTTGGGGCTTGGGTCCATTTCAACCTCTTTCTACAAGGCCAGGAGGCCCCCTCAGAAAGTTCTGGGTACATCCAAACCCGTGAAGCCTTGGCGTCATGAGGGAGTTGTTCATGGGTCATTTCTCCGACACCTCGCCCCCCTTGTCTGGGTCTCCGGGCCTCCGGAGGTGGCGAACTCCCAGGGCCTGGGGGGCGAGCTCTACTGGGCAGCCCCGGGCTCGGCCCGGAGGAGGCTGTCTGGACGGGCCTCCCCTTCCTCTGGGGGGGGCTGCAAGGCCGCAGCACCCCGCCCCGCCGCTGCGCCCACCAATGCTCTTGCGCCCTCCCCATGTCGTGTGCAGGAGTCACAGGCTCCTGAGAAGCCAGCCTCAGGAGGGGTCAGCGAGAAAGCAGGCTCTAAGAAGAGTTCTTTTTTTTTTTTTTTAAGAATTTTTGAAGTATAATGCAAAATTTTAAAAAAAAACAAATAGGAAGAAGCCCATTTTCTTTATAAAAATGTATGAGTAGAAACAAAAGCAAATTAAACATTACCACATGTTATACCACTGTCTAGTTCTTCACGTCGACTTGACTGTTTAAACAATAGAAAGCAGGCGGCAATCGAGGGTTTGGGAGAGAGAAAGAACAAAAGCCCTTCTATACCTCGTTTATTCTGTAGTGGGCAGAGCTGTGGCCGCGGAGACGGCTGCTTTTCCCCCCACCATGCTGGCGTTCAGCTGCGTATCAAGCTGAACCTGCTCCAAAGCTGGGAGACCAGGAACGAGGGGCCCATATCCTGCTTTACGTCAGACAGTTCGAGCAGTGGCACGGTCAGCCGCTCGTAATTTTAGGAGCAGCGAACAGGCTTTCTCTGGAAGTTGCACCATAAACAACAACTTATGCTCCTTCAGTTCTGTCATATGTGCAAGACACTGAGAAGGTTCAAAACGTGGTCCCCACCAGGGACCGATGCCGTCATCTGTGACCCGGTCTTGCAGGGCTCTCCCTTGACGACCTAGGGTCTCTGTCATTAAGCAATTTAGTCCTTCTGCGTCATCTTCTCTGGGGCTGAGGTCACCAGCAGGGAGTGTGAAGAAAGTTGTCCCCACTGTGGCAGGGACACGTGGTATTATTCAGGCACAACCAGAACCCCCCCCTCTAGACCCCCTCATTCCAATTTTACCAAGTGCCTCCCCCATGCATTGAAATCTGGCTGCAGGGGAACTGCTGTTTTCATAGAGGGGCTCTTTGGTGCCAAAGGTGTGACTGGCGAGAGGGAGCAGGCAGACTGTGCGCTCCAAGGGGAGGGGCGTGGTCTGCTGGAGGTACTTGCTGCCAGACTGGTGGACGCCCCTGTGGCACCGTTTAAGAGTTGACACTTCTAAGGGTCCGAGCAAGAAGTGAGTTTGTTCCTCAAAGTTTTGTATCTGACCCTGACTCAAAATAGGCCCTCAGAGTTCTTTGTTATCTACTGTTTGATTCTTACTGCCTGACAATGATTAATGAGCTTTACCTGTATTCCTGTGCAAAACGAACCCAGTAAAAGCCCACTGAGGAAAAGGCTCTTGGCCCTTCTCCTTTGAGAGATAGGCCACCTTTCCTGCCACACCCCCCAAAAAAAAAAAAGAGTTGACATTTTGGAGCCCTGGCCAGACAGGGAGCCCTTTAGAGCAGCCCTGAGAGTTGAGCCATTTTATAGACAAGAAAAGTGGCCCCCGGGGAAGTTAGGCTACTTGCCCCGAAGCAACAGTGAGCTAGTGATAAACACGCCCTGGTAGTCCCGTGCTGGAATACGTAAGGGGGCGAATGAATGAGCGAGTAAGTGGAAGAATGAAGGAGGAAAGACACAAGGGCACGGAGGAATGAATGGGCAGGACTCCAAAGCCCCCGAGAGAGACCCTGCTCCACTGTCCCCATTTTACAGAGAGAAACAGGAGACCCAGTCAGGAGCCAGGCAGAGGGGGCCAGTGCCTCCAGCAAGGGGCCTCGGGGCTGCTTTGGGTCTCCTGACGCCCGCTCCCCGCTCTCTGTTGCAGCCCCGAGCCATGATGAAGACCTTGTCCAGCGGGAACTGCACGTTCAGTGTGCCCGCCAAGAACTCGTACCGCATGGTGGTGCTGGGCGCCTCGCGGGTGGGCAAGAGCTCCATCGTCTCTCGTTTCCTCAACGGCCGCTTCGAGGACCAGTACACACCCACCATCGAGGACTTCCACCGGAAGGTCTACAACATCCGAGGCGACATGTACCAGCTGGACATCCTGGACACGTCCGGCAACCACCCCTTCCCCGCCATGCGCAGGCTGTCCATCCTCACAGGTGGGTGCCTGGGGTGGGCACGGGCGCCGCCTACACAGGGGTGTGTGCTCAGCACTTTACAGTTTGTACAGCACCTGCATCTCCGTCCTCTGAGGTGAAGGTTACAAGGAACCCCCATGCAGTGACCGTGAGGGGCAGAGGGGTGCTGCTGCTGGCCCGAGCAGCTGTGGGAGCCGGGGCCCAGTTTCCATCCTCCCTGACCCCGGGTCAATCACTCACGGCTCCCGGTCCAGCCTTACAGTTTGGGAGCTGACTGGGGCGGGCGCTGGGGCTGTTCCTCTCCCAGAAATGGAGGGGCTGCTGCCGCCCTCCTGCAGGAGGTGACTCAGCCTTGCTCCACAGCCCAGGGTCAGTCTGCTGGGCTCAGGTCTGTTGACCCCCCCCCCCCGGCCCTTTGCCACCTCTCAGAGCAGTAACAACAGGACTGGGCAGCAGGGCCCCTGCCCATGCCGGGGGCTCGGTAATAACTGCAGTAACGGCGATAGCGTTAGCTGACCCTTACCAAGAGCTGTGTGTCTGGACCCATTGGTTTCTCTAATCCTCACAACTAACCAGGGAGATGGGCGTTTGCCCCCCTTTTACAGGTGGGGAAGCTGAGGCCCAGAGAGCTGAAGTCACTCTGGCGGTAACACAGTTGGTACATGGAAGTCCGTCTCCCGCTTTGCCACTAGGCTGTCCTGTGGCCTCTGGCCCTGCTGGGAGTGGTGGGAGGCAGAGGGAGATGGCCGGTCGGTCGGGGACCACGCGGGCAGGTGCAGACGTGGGGCCTGGCCATCTTCTGCGTGACTCAGGCAGTTTCGTGTGGTAGCTCAGAGGCAGGCCTAGAAACCAGGCTGCCAGGGTCTGAATCCTGGTTCCCCTGCTTCCTGGTTTTGTCCCGGTCACAGGCTTCATCTCGGCTTTCTCGCCTGCTTGTCGGTGTCACACAGCAGCCATCCCAGAGGTCACTGTGAGATAAATGAGTTCGTGTAGGAGCAGTGCTCGGCGAGCAGGTATTAAGTGCTCAGTAAAGACTAGTCCTAAATTAAGGCCGCGTTCATAGTGTGCCTGCCTTGGGCTCTGCAGGCTCGCGTCCCGAGCCGTGCCCCTCCCATTGCTGGGCAGCAATGAAGCTGGGGAATGAGCACGTAACCCGTCCTCCAGTCACTGTGAAAATAACCCCCCAATCAGACACTTCTGCTCCCAGAAAACCTGCCGTGCCTGCCCCTCCCCAATATCCCAGTCCAGCCCCCCCTTGGGTAGCCTTGGCAAGCAGTCTCCTCCTGAGACTGTCCTCGCAGACCACCGGGCACAGATTGCACTCAGACCCCCTCAGCCCACGTTTGGGAGACGCAGTGTGTGGATAGAGGTGCCCTGGGTGTGTCTGGGCACGAGTCCTGGTCCCCCATCGCGTGGCCTAGACCTGGGACCAGAGGTCTGAATCCCAGTCTCGCCCTCCACCCAGTGGGCATGACAGAGCTTCCTCTGGGGGCGGCTGAGAGCACTGGAGGGAGACATGGGCATGGGGGGCACTTCCGGCACACAGTGAATATTGCAGGAATGCCAGCTCTCAGGGAGGGGCCTGGGAGCCCCTCCATGCAAACGAGGCTAATGCCAGAGGGAAGGAGGAGAGGGACCCCTTGCACAATTTCAAGATATCTTTTAATTACACAAATAATATACAACACACCCTCCTTTAAACACATAGACAAGGCTGAAAAGCCCCCTTGACACATGTCCCCCCAGGCTCTGCCCCTTCCTGGAAGTGGCCACCCCATCAGCCCGGTGTGCACCCTCTGGCCCTCCCCCGTGAGCACACCGACATTCATATTTGCATCCCCACAGAAGAGTATTTTTTTCTGTCTTTCTCTTGTGCATCTACCATTCCGAGCACATCTGTCTGCTGCTTGCTTTTCCACTCACCAACCCATACCTCATTTTCCAACCTGGTGCTGGTGCACAGAGCACTCTGAAGCCGTCAATTCCACCACCATCCATTCCCTCCAGCTGCCAGCCCCGCCGGCTGACTCTGCAGCTTGGCACCGCAATCGTGCATTTGAATGTGTCAGGGCCGCTGAACCGTCTGGGGCCCAGGAGCAGCCTAACAGAACGGGTTTGGCAGCCCGAGCTGATCTGGATGCCAGGCGGGTGCTGCCCACACCGTCTTTCATCCTGTCCCATCCGGTCCCGCCCACTCAGCCACTTTCACGGACACCCACCATGTGCCGGGCACTGGAGGCGAGGAGAGGACGACACAGGCCCCTCTGCTCCGAAGCTCACTGTTCAGAGCACACCACTGGCCGGAACACAGTTCCGCTTGTGGCATGTGCGGTTATGGGGACAGCTGCGCTCTGGGGTCATATGGGCCAGTTGCTGACACCTCTGAGCCTCGGTTTCCTTGTCTGTAAAACAGGGATCTTGACATCTTGCCAAAGTGAGGAAGGTCCTCTGAGCATGAGACTGTGATAAGATTGTAGGAAGTTGGGGGGAGGGCACCAGCCCTCTCTGCCACCCCTGCCTCCTCCGCATCGTCCCTGCTTCAGATCCAAAGGCCTTGAGAGACGCAGCGAGCAAACCGGGGAGACTGTGGGCCTTGCAGGCCAGCGTTCGCTTATTCTTCTGAGATTTATTCAAGAAGCAGAAGGCACCTACTGTGTGCTGGGCACTGGCTAAGCGAGGGCAGGCGTGGGCCCATGTCTCTTGGCCGGGCCACGTTGGAGCTGTGTGGCCTGGGACAGTTGCTCCCCCTTTCTGAGCTGCAGTTTGCTCTCCTCTACCGTGAAGATAAAGAAATCTCACACAGGTTTTATAGCGTCAGGGAAAAACTGGGCAGGAAGTGTGTGACCCGTGCAGGCTCCTGCAGGGGCTTGTTCTCATTATTGTTGATACCTAAGGCCACTGACCGGCGACACTGCTGTCACTGTCTCCTGTGGCGCTCAAGGTCACCCTACAAGGCAGTGTTTCATCCACATGGGACCGATGGGGACATGGGACTGAGAGGTTGAGGGAGGCTGCCGTGTGGCCTGCTAAAGGCCACGTGGTAAGTGGAGGAGGCAAGACAAACACCTAAGCCACCCGTTGCCAACAGCCTGGGGTCCTGCCCAGCATCAGGTGTGAGGTTCCAGGCCCTGGGGATGTGCCCCAAACAAGCTGGGCAGACCCCTCCTGTCACGGAGATTGCATTTATTATTCTTCTAATGCTGCCTCCACAAGTTCAAAGTCACACGTGGCCTCCAGCCCTGCAGGGAAGTGTAGGCTGAGGTAGCTGTGTCCCAACCAGGTTCTGCCACAGATAAGCTGCGTGGCCTCGTGGGGCGGGGGGCTGGCAGGAGCCGCCCAGGAACTCACCGCCGCGGTTTCTCTCCACCGCACAGGCGACGTCTTCATCCTGGTGTTCAGCCTGGACAACCGCGAGTCCTTCGACGAGGTCAAGCGCCTGCAGAAGCAGATCCTGGAGGTCAAGTCCTGCCTGAAGAACAAGACGAAGGAGGCGGCGGAGCTGCCCATGGTCATCTGCGGCAACAAGAACGACCACAGCGAGCTCTGCCGCCAGGTGCCCACCACCGAGGCCGAGCTGCTGGTGTCGGGCGACGAGAACTGCGCCTACTTCGAGGTGTCGGCCAAGAAGAACACCAATGTGGACGAGATGTTCTACGTGCTCTTCAGCATGGCCAAGCTGCCGCACGAGATGAGCCCCGCCCTGCACCGCAAGATCTCTGTGCAGTACGGTGACACCTTCCACCCCAGGCCCTTCTGCATGCGCCGCGTCAAGGAGACGGATGCCTACGGCATGGTCTCGCCCTTCGCCCGCCGCCCCAGCGTCAACAGTGACCTCAAGTACATCAAGGCCAAGGTCCTTCGGGAGGGCCAGGCCCGGGAGCGGGACAAATGCACCATCCAGTGAGCGGGAGGGATGCTGGGGTTGGGCTGGGGCTGTGCCTTACGGGAGGTGGCCCCAGACGCCCGCATCCCCCCATGAGAACTCAATGGCAGTCGTATTGGAAGAGGTTTGGCACCAGCGTGGAGGACCCCGGCCGTGAACCTCTCTCTGTACCTTCTCTGGCCTTCCTGCCACTTCCCTCCGATTCCATGCTCCCTGTGGTTTCAGCTCTCCCGTGTGGAGATGGCTCTCCGCAGAGCGGGAGACGAGGTTGGGAGACACCTGGACTCCTGTGAGGACCCAGGGCAGAGCCTCCTGTCCTTGGGTTATAAGAAGCACTGATGCCGCAGGGGACAGGACGCCTGTGGTGAGAGGATGAAAGCGGCCCCCGGGGCCAGGTGGGAGAGCACTCTGCTGTCCTGGCGTGAGACCCAGCTTGGTTTAGGCGGCAGCTAGGAGACTGCCCCCCACCCCCCCGAGACTCCCAGTGTGGAGACTTGCCCTCTGGCTCAGCTGCTTCCACCCTTGACCGCCCCACCCCACCCCACGTTGGTCCCTGAGTGTCCCTGACATCCAGCCAGGAGCATCTGTGCGTTTGAAGGGGAGGCAGCCACGTCTCCTAGGCCACGTCCAGCTCCTGGGCCACCTTCCTGGTCCGCCCCCTCTCCCAGGTCCCTCCCGTCTGCTGGGTGTGCCGTGCCGTTCCAGCCATTCTCATGTCCTGTGTAGCTGTAGTGTAGACTGGGAATCCTCGTACTGTAAAGCCCAGCGACCCCTCATTGGCCAGGCCCCCCCAGGTCAGACCCCCCACCTCCCCTGCTCCCCAGTGGGGCTCCCGCCTGGCCTGTCTGCAGCTGGACACTGCCCTCCATACTGACTTCACAGCTTACGCTCGCCCAGGTGGGGCCGGCTGCCGGGACCACCGCTGCCCCAGCCCCCTGCCCCCACCACGCGGCTCAGTCAGGACAGGGCTCCGCCTGGAGCCAGGCTCTTCTCGACTGTGCTTGTTCCTCAAGCATTTATTGAGCACCTGCTGGGTGCCGCGTCCCCTGTGTGCAGGGAAACCCGAGGGTGAGCGATGCACTTTACAACCCCAAGGCCAGGGCCTTCCCCAGGCCCGGCCTCCTCCCCTTCACCCAGCTGGCCTCTGCCCGCCCTGCTGTCCCTCTGCCTGCTGCACACGCAGCTGTCGGGAGGCTTGGAGGAGCAGCCTGGGGCCGGAGCTGAGCCTGGGCGAGGTTTGGGTGGTGTTTTCTCACGCCTGCCTGGGGATGGGGCTGTACTGGGTACGGGGCCTGGCAGGATTTGAACCTCTAGACCAAAGCTCTTGTCATCAGCTCTTAACAAACACATTTTGTATTTTAGTCTCCAGAAACATATTGATGTTTAGGGCCATAAGGAACCTTAGTGGTCATCTAGTGACTCTTCCCAAGGCCCAGAGAGGGTAAGTCGGTTGCCCCAGGTCACACAGCAAGTCTACGAGTGGCAGAAGCAGGGCTAGGGCTGGGCGCTCAGCACACACCGTGATGTGCATCCTTTCCTCGAGCTGCCCCTGAAGGCCGCTGCAGATTCTGTGTACGTGTGCCCATGTATGGAATGTACACACACGTGAACACACAAACACACAGGGCCTGGCCCCAGCTCTGCTCACCCTCCACCCTTCCCCAGCCCCTGCTGCTCAGGGCAGCAGTGCTGACCCTGCTTCTGTGTCCCCACCCAGCCCTACCTGGACCCTCTAAGCAGACCAGGTACCTTGGCCAGGACGGGTGTGTGGCCTGGTCTCACCCAGATCTCTGTGAGCATTCTCAATTAAAATGGGTTTGTTTCTAAGCTGTGTCCTTGACCCTGTGTCTTTTCTGTGTTTCCAAGGGGAGGGGCTGCCTCGTCCCCAACCAGAGCTGGCCTTTCCCTCCCCGAGTGGCCCCTGCCTGGGGCTCTTGCTCTGCCTGCCAGTTGGAGTCACTCTTCAAAGTGAAGTATGTGGGGGAGGTGGTAGAAGAACGCCCCAAGCCTCTCCCGGCCCCCACCCTCTGGGCCCTGTGGGTGTGGGTGCTGAGTGTCTGGGACCCTCTGGGGTGGCCAGGTCGGACAGGGGAGGCGCCCTGAGGACCAGCAGCCCTGTGGAGTCACCCTGTGTCTGAGTTCTGAGTGGCTCCTGTAGAGCATCGATTTCACCCCCAGGGACATTTGCCAATGTCTAGAAACACTCTTGATTGTCAAAACTGGGCGGGTGAGGGCGTGTGGTGCTACCAGCATCCCGTGGGAGAGCGTCGGGGATGCTGACCACCCTCCAGTGGCCAGGACAGCCCTGCAGTAAAGAGCCACCCTGCTCTGAAGCGTGGCAGTGGGCAGTCTCCTCACTTGGATAGTCAGCCCCCTGGGCTCGGCACCGCCCTGGTCTGTGTGTGCTTGACAACCACGTACGACTTTCTGGATGCTCCTTCACAGCACTGGGGGAGCAGCATGGTGGCCCTCCTGGGAAATGAGGGGGGCGTGGGTGCGGCGGCTGGTGGAGGGAGAGGGCGGTCTCGTCCCTGTACAGCCCCAAACGTGCCACCTTGGGCCAAGGCTGTCCCTGCACAGAGGGGAGGGCAGGGAAACAGCCACACGCCGGCTGCCGTGTTCCTCGCCCCGTTTCACGCCCTCTGCAGATCTGCTGCTCCAGCAGAAACACGCTCCTCGTGTTTGTCTGTTTGCAACATCGAGTTGGGGACAGCACAGCGGAGGAGGTGGCAGGTGGGGGACTCCAAACCAGAGGCCGTGGAGCTCCATGTGGTGAGAAGGGATTTACATCTGGGAGATGGAGACGGGTCCACTGACCAATCAGCAAAGGCCACAAGTGTGTAGGTGCGAGGCCAGAGGTGGAGGTCAGGTCAGGCCTCGCACCGGCACACTCAGAGAGAAGCAGGACAGGGCCCTGCGTGCCAGGGGCTCACGATCCAATGCAAGAAGCCCCTGCCTGCATATTCACAAAGCAAGGTGAGCCCCTTTACCTGTGGAGGCAAAACCAGGTGGACCTGGGATGGGGGGAGCCAGGGAGAGCTCCCAACCTCTGCCTACCTGGTGGGGGTGGGGGGCCCAGCTCCTTTCTCTGCTCACCTGGGAGCCCTGCTCCCTCCCACCTTTTGCCCACACCAGCCAGAGCAGGTCAGCGTGGGAAGCAAGTCTCTGTGAGACTTCCCCAGACCTGGGTTTTGTGAACGTGTAACCCGGCGGCAGACACTCCTGCTGCACCGCAGGTCAGCGCTGCAGCACGAGATGGGCTGAACGGGGAGGCAGCAGGTGCACAGAGCGAGCCTCCCACACGCCTCGGGCCCAGCCCAGCTCCTCCATGCGTGCAGGAGGACGGCGAGTCCTCTCCCAGTCCAGGTGGTCCGGCTCCAAACGGGAGGTGGGGGCCTTGCAGCCATGTGTTGTCTGCAGAAGAATTAATATTCTTATTACATAACCCACAACATTCCGATCATTTCTCAACAGAACAGGCTGGCTCCGGCCCCACTCCCTGCAGCCCACGGACTCGCCTGGAGTGGGCTAACCAGCACAGGGCTTTGGCAGAGGAGGAAGACTTCCTCGACAAACCTTTTCTTAGCCCAGGGACAGAGGGTGGAATAAGATTGTAGGGAAATTCCCCTCACGGGAGACCCTTCAGAGACAAGCTCGTCATAGCCAGTTTTAATTCCTGACCCTAGGAAGGGAATGTTGAGAATCTGATTTCAGAGAATTCTGCGCTGTGAATTCTAAGTACTTGTTCTGTTCCGCCTCCCTGAACCTGTCACTTAGTCAAAAGAAAAACTTCGGTCTGCGTCACGGCTTGGTGGGGGCTGACGGGTGGCCAGCCGGGGCTCAGTGACAAAGGCTGCTGGGAACCAGGGAGGGGAAGGGGGAGGGGACAGGCAGTGGATCTGTTTGAACCTTTACCGTGTGCCAAGCGCTGCGCTGGGTCCGCCACCTCTATCCCGTCACTGGATCCTATGGCAATGCTATGTATAAGGGCTATGAACCCCTTTTTTCACATGTGAGGGAAACTAAGGGTCAGAGAGGTCAGGCCACTTGCCCAGAGTTGCACAGCCGAGTGACAGACCTGAGCTTGAACCCATGTCTGATTACAAAGCATGTTTTCCCCTAGAGCTTTTGTAACTGGGCCAGTGGGGGGGGCTGCGCTCTGGACAGAGAGGCCAGTGGGTTGGGGTGTGATGTCCGGACATGGTGAAAAGAACTGGGGCTCACGTAAGTCACAGGGCAAGAGACGCCCTACCACTCACAGCAAAAGGCCCAGCCTCTGTAACGGGAGAACTTGATGTTTTTCCCACGGGAGAGTCCGAGGTAAATGTGCTAGGCCAGAGGGTGGCCCTGTTCCACCTGGTCATTCAGGGTCCTCCACCTCTAGGGCCTTGTCACCATCTGCAAGGCCAAAGCCACTGCCACAGTTGGTTTCTGCGGAGGGGCAAGGAAAAAGCATGCAGAGGGTACATAGCCGGACACATTTCTTCCACTCACGTTCCCCTGGGAAGCCTCAGTCACGTGACCTCACCTAGCTGTGAGAAGGGCTGGGGAGTGCAGCTCCTGGCCCGGTGACTCATTACTGTGGAAAAACAGGACTAGTGACCTGGCTGGCCAGCTGACGGTCTCCACCCGGTCACTGGGTCACCACATGCCAGAGGGCCAGCTGCAGGGCCCCACCTGCAACCTGACTTCTAACAGGCTGTGCTCATCAGAGAGCACTCTGACCTCCGACTGGTTCTGTGAAGTGTCTCTATTTTCCTGTTGCTACGGGAACGCCGACTGTCCTGTGATTTCTGTCATCTCTACCCGAGGCCCTTCGGGTGGCAAATACAGCCTCAACTGAAAACCCTTGACCCACATGACGAGGAACATTTCAGTCTTCAACCAGCAAAAAGACTTTCTCTTCTCCCATGGCTGAGGTCTCCTGTGCTGGATGCGCTGGAGTCCTGGGCAGTGGAGGCTGGGTGGGCCCTCTTTTTCACTGTCCTGCTACCTTCTCACTCTTGTCAGTTCCTCTCTCCTTCATTCTTGGGAGGCAGGTCTGGGGTGGGGGCAGAAGAGCTCAGGGGACCTGGGACGTTTCTCTTGCCTGGGGCCGTGGTATTGTGACCGACGGTGCCACGGTCAGAGCAGGGAGATGTGAAGCAATGGTGCTGCAATCTCAGGGATAATTTTGCAGATTTTTCTGAGACCATCTTGCCATCACTGGGAAGCTCCCACCTGTGGGTGTCTTGACGTGGTTCCTTGTGTCTCCGTTTGGGTTGTTTGCTGAGTCCTTCCAAAGCCACCGGGCTGGTTTTGACACCTGTAGGCCTTTCTGGGCTGCGGCCTCTTGCCCTTCCACGTGCCCTCCTGGGGCGGGGCTGAGGCACCCCCATGCCAGCTTTCCCTTTCGGTTATCCCGCATCTGGTCCACGTGAAACACACACCCTCTACCTTAATCAACTCCAAGAGTGTAAGCTGATCTGAGCTCCGTAAGGACCTTTTGCATCTGACCAGGTCGCTCTATCACCTCTTAGATTTATTAGACAGAGGGCAGACAGGTACATGGAACCCTCCGCTCCGGGGATGCACACCAAACACTAGGCTTGAGATAAGGGGCACGCTCTGAAAATGCTCTTTCCCAAGGAAGCCTCCTCCCCCTCACTCTTATGTATCTTTGACCTAGGAGAGAAGTCTGGGAATCAAGTAGCTGGTTTTGGCCATGTGTGTTGAAAATTTTGCCTTTGCCTCTAAAACCCTGCTTTGGAACCTGAGACCAATCTTGTCAGGGTCTCAGCAGAAAGGAAGGGGCGAGGGCCGGGGTCATCAGCCAGGTCAGACTAAGGAAAGGCTCTCGGGGAGGGGGGAACTCTAGCCTCATCTTGGGCATGGCTCGCCACTGAACAGGAAAGGGGGTCAGAGCCCAGTGTAAGGACTGAACCAGCCCAGGAATCCTGGACATGCACCTTAATGCACAGCCCAACAAGAGAGGTGTAGCATTTTAATGAATAACATAGAATCTGGTCTGAGCCTGCCTGGCTCTAAATCTCAGCTCTGCTGTCTGCAAGTTGCATGTCCTCAGGCAAATTACTTTTTGTATAGGTCAGCTATCACTGCAATAATGCTGCGTAACAAATGACCCCAAATTCAGGGGCTGACTGCACACATTTCTCCTTCTGCATACTGGTCCCCAGGGCAACTGCAGACACAATGGTCTGGGCTGGACATTGCCGGCCTCACATCAACACTGATCCTGTCTTTATGTAAAGTTTTAACCCTTTTTCATTGGAGAAGTCTTATTCCATTTAGGCTGCAATAACAAAACACCATAGACTGGTGTATTAACAAGGTATCCATACCATCACATACACTGAATTATAAACAACTCACATATTAACCACGTGAACTGGCTTATAAACCACAAGCGCAGTTTATTGTCACAGTTCTGGACGTCGGGAAGTACAGCACTCAGGTGCGGGCCAACTTGGCATCTGGTGCGGAACTGCTTCGTGGTTCATAGTTGGCTGTCTTCTCCCTGTGTCCTCACGTGAGGGAGGGGGCAGGAAAGCTCCATGGGGTCTCTTTAAAAGGTCACTCATCCCATCAATGAGGGCTCCACCCTCATGACCTCCCCAAAGCCCCACCTCCTAATTTCATCACACAGGAGGTTAGGTTTCAACATATACATTTTGGGGAAACACAAACATTTGAATTTTTGCATTCCTTTCTATTTTTTAATGATTACATGAAATATTATTTTGCTTTACCCCTGCGTTTTTTGGCATCTTCTTAAATTTTGCACCTGACGCAATCGCCACACTTGCCTCCCCCTAGTCTTGGCCCTG